GCTGTGGTCTAAACCACTGAGCCTCTTGGGCTTGCCAATTAGAAGGTCGGCGGTTTGAATCCCCACAACAGGGTGAGCTCCCATTACTCGGTCCCAGCTCCTGCCAAACCTAGCAGTTCGAAAGCATGCCAAAAAGTGCAAGTAGATAAATAGGTACCACTCCGGCGGGAAGGTAAACAGCGTTTCCGTACTCTGCTCTTGTTTCACCAGAAGCGGATTAGTCATGCTGGCCACATGACCCAGAAAAACTGTCTGCGGACAAACACCAACTCCCTCGGCCTGTAAAGCGAGATGAGCGCTGCAACCCCAGAGTCGTTCACGACTGGACTTAACTGTCAGGGGTCCTTTAACCTGCTTTCACAGCAGCCAAACAGATACCTCCATGGGAAGCCCACATGCAGGATTTAAGCACAACAGGACTCTCCTCAGTTGTGATTCTTAGCAACTGGGCCTCAGAGGCATCCCTACCTCGAGAATGTGGCCCTGGTTTCACTATGGAATGGCATGGTGAACTGGGCAGCTGCCATTATGACACCCAAGCCGCCTCTCCAGTGTTGTGGAGCTGACTGGTTCCTTGGTATTCTGGTGAGCTTTGTGCTATGAAGCGAGCCAGATGAAGACTAGAGCAGTGTTTCCCAACCTTGGGTCTTCAGCTGTTTTCGGACTACAATCCCCATCACCCCTGACCACTGATCTTGTTAGCTAGGGATGATGGGAGTTGTAGTCCAGAAATAGCTGGAGACCCAAGGTTGGGAAACACTGGACTAGAGCACAGGTGGCTCAAGATTATTTCTTCTTCTTCTTCTTCTTCTTCTTCTTCTTCTTCTTCTTCTTCTTCTTCTTCTTCTTCATTTGTACCCCACTCATTTGGCTGGGTTGCCACTCTGGGCGGCTTCCAGCATATATAAAAACATAGTAAAACATTAAACCTTAAAAGCTTCCCTATACCGGGGTGCCTTCAGATGTTTCCTAAATGTTATATACAGTAGTACCTTGGGTTAAGAACTTAATTCGTTCCGGAGGTCCATTCTTAACCTGAAACTGTTCTTAACCTGAAACTGTTCTTAACCTGAAGCACACTCCAGCTGCCGCCGTGTCACCACCACACAATTTCTGTTCTCATCCTGAAGCAAAGTTCTTAACCCGAAGTACTATTTCTGGGTTAGTGGAGTCTGTAACCTGAAGCGTCTGTGACCTGAAGCATCTATAACCCGAGGTACCACTGTAATTACTCATCTCCTTAACAACTGATGGGAGGGCGTTCCACAGTGTGGGCGCCACTGCTGAGAAGGCTCTCTGCCTAGTTTCCTGTAGCTACACTTTTCACAGTGAGGGAACTGCCGGAAGGCCCTTGATGCTGGACCTCAGTGTCCGGGCAGAACAATGGGGGTGGAGACACTCCTTCAGGTATATAGGACCGAGGCCATTTAGGGCCGTTTAGACTTGCACTGGAGTCATCCAGACACTGCTTGGAGGACATAACGATGCCAACAATGGGGCAGTTTTTTGTAACGCTGCAAAGACAGAAATAAAGGCATGTAAATACGTTTCTGTCTATCTCTTTCCCCTGCGGGGGCGGGGGCAGGAAAGAGGGGGGGTGTTTTTCTCACGCTGAGAAGGATCGCCTATCGCGACCTCTGCCTGGAGCTTGCCGGGAAAGCAGACAGGGAGGTCAACAGGAGACCAAGCCGGGTGCCTGGGAGAGTTGTCAGTTTCTCCTGATAAAGGCTTGATTTCCGACAGTGCAAGCCGCAAGGAAGGATCATTGGGCAGCTTGCACTGCATTTTCTCTAGTGCAGGGGTCAGCAAACTTTTTCAGCAGGGGGCCAGTCCACTGTCCCTCAGACCTTGTGGGGGGCCGGACTATATTTTGAAGGGGGAAAAAGAAGAAAGAAAGAATTCCTATGCCCCACAAATAACCCAGAGATGCATTTTAAATAAAAGCGCACATTCTACTCATGAAAAAACATGCTGATTCCCACACCATCTGTGGGCCAGATTTAGAAGGTGATTGGGCCGGATCCGGTCCCTGAGCCTTAGCTTGCCTACCCATGTGCTAGTGACTATATGCCTGGCCACTTGCCTCGACTTCTGTCCCTCTTTGCTTCTTATATCTAACAGAAAGTGGTTAGTGCTTCATTGCATGAGGGGATGGTCCCTGCTGCCTTGAAAGAGGTGGTGGTGTGACTACTCCTAAAGAAACTAGTCATAGATCCCTTAGACCAGGGTTTACCAAACTTGGGTCTCCAGCTGTTTTTGGACTACAGCTCCCATCATCTCTAGCTAGCAGGACCAGTGGTCAGGGATGGTGGGAGTTGTAGTCCCAAAACAGCTGGAGACCCAAGTTTGGAAAACCCTGCCTTAGACTTAAATCTATTCTGACCCATCACAAATACCTTCGGGGGTGGGGAGTTAGGGGGAGGTGATGGAAAAAATAGTGGTGAGGCAGCTACAGGGATTCTTGGATGACAGATTTAGATCCATTCGAATCTGGATTCAGGCCTGGTCATGGGACAGAGTTACCCTTGATTACATTGAGGGATGACCTCTGCAAGAGAACAGGACAAAGGGAGCACAACCTAGTTCCCGCTTCTTGATCTTTCTGTGGCTTTTGATACTACTGCCCATGGGATCCTTCTGGGCCAGCTCCATGGAATGGGGATGGGGGGCGCACTGTGCTGTAGTGGTCCAGAGAGTAGCATTGATCAAGTGCTTTTTTGCCCTCATGGTGGTTATTTTTTATTTATTTATATTATTTATTCAATTTATATACCACACATTATCAAAAGATCCCAGGGCAGTGTACAACATTAAAAACACATTGCAGAACAACAGTAATAAAAACATAATTTAAAGCATACTGAGAGACAGTCTAGAAGAAGAAGAGAAGAAGAAGAGTTTGGATTTGATATCCTGCTTTATCACTATCCTAGGGAGTCTCAAAGCGGCTAACATTCTCCTTTCCCTTCCTCTCCCACAACAAACACTCTGTGAGATGAGTGGGGCTGAGAGACTTCAAAGAAGTGTGACTAGCCCAAGGTCACCCAGCAGCAGCATGTGGAGGAGCGGGGAAGCGAACCTGGTTCACCAGATTACGAGTCTATCGCTCTTAACCACTACACCACACTGGCTATAATAATAAAGCCTAATAATAAAACAATCATAGTAACAACAGTCCTCTAACCCACACTTTCACGAGCCACAGATTATTTAACAGCCATAGGCCTGGGTAAAGAGGAATGTTTTTGCCTGGCACCTAAAGACATGTAATGATGGCACCAGGTGAGCCATTCTGGGGAGCCACCACAGAAAAGGCCTGTTTTCATGTTGTCACCCTTTGCACACCTCTGGGATGGGGGGACATAGAGAAGGGCCTCAGAAGACAAGCTCAGGGTCCGGGTCAGTTTGCATGGGGAGAGGCAATCCTATTGAAGTCCTGAGCCATGCAAGGCTTTATAGTTCAACACCAACACTTTGAATTGGGCCCGGAAACTACTCAGCAGCCAATGCAGTTGTGCCAGGATTGGTGTTATATGCTCAAACTGTCTTGTTCTGGTGAACAATCTGGCCATTGCATTTTGCACCAGCTGAAGTTTCCAAACAGTCTTTGGAGGCAGTCCCAAGTATAACACATTGCAGTATTCCAACCTAGGGGCTACCAGGGCTTAGAATGCAGAAGTCAGGCTATCCCTGTCCAGATAGGGATGCAGCTGGGCCACCAGCCGAAGCTGACAGAAGGCACTCCATGCCACCGAGTCCACTTGGACCTCAAGAGACAGGTGGTTACACTATTGAGTGCCACAGGGCACTATTTTATCCCCAATATTATTCAATGTTTATATGAAGCTGCTGGGAGTGGCCATTTGGAGTTTTGGGGGAAGGTGCCATCAGAACACTGATGACACTCCACTCTATTTCTCAGTAACATGTGAATCAGCAGAAGCTACACAGGCCTTTGACTGGTGCCTGGACACAGAGATGAGATGGATGAGAGGAAATAAGCCAAGCATGAATCCTGGGAATACAACAGCACTGTGTGGGAGTAGTTCACTTGGCCACAAAATTGGTACAACTGCCTGTTCTGGGTGGAGTTGCAATCCTTCTAAAGGAGCAGGTATGCAACTAGAGGTGCTCCATAGCTAGAAGTGCCTTTTACCAGCTGTGCTTGGCCTACCCCAAGCAGCCCACCCCCAGACATTCGAGAGCCATGTCGAAAAGTGACCTTCAGGAGGTGCCGCCTAAGGGGAGGCTCCTTTTCCACTCTGGTTCTTCAGCACGGTGGTCTCAGCATTACTTACCAATTTCAACTTGCAGTTCTTCGTTTAGCATAGTCAGATTGACAAAGTAGTCCGATAAGTTCACAACCATGGCAAATTTCCCATAATCTAAAAGGTTTACAAGAATCCAGGTCAAGATCTTAAATCGCAATCTATATCTATTTCAAATCATCTCCCTACATTCTGCCATGCAGGGGAGCATCAGGCTTAATGTTGCATTTTAATCTTGTTTTTTAAGTTGTATTTCAATCAATTGTTTTTATACCTGATGTTAGCCGCCCTGAGCCTAGTCTTGGCTGGGGAGGGCGGGGTATAAATAAAATTTATTATTATTATTATTACTATTATTATTAGGCCCATGGGCACATTTGCATATTCTGAGAAAAATCAGGACACGGGCCTTGCGCCTCCTTCCCAAAGTCTGGGAAGCTTCTGCCCACCTAGTCCAGCATCTTGTTCTCACAGTGGCCAACAGTGGGAAACTTGCAAGCAGGATCCGAGCAGAAGAGAACCACCCCCTCCTGTGGCTTCCAGGAACTGAGATTCAGAATCATTGCTGCCTCCAAGTGTGGAGGCAGAGCAGTGTTAGAAATCAGCCAGGCGCTGGGCGCATTTTACACCATTTGCAAACAAGTGAAGATGCCTGGATGCCAGGACAGCACCTGACCTCTCCACCATCTGGAGGTGCATGCCTGGGGAAGAAGATGCAATGCTCTGACAGGGTGTGAGAGCTCACCCACCTCCTTACCAAAGTTGGGCAAAAGCTGCTCATGTTTTGGGAAGGAGGCGGGAGAGCTCTCGCACCCTGTCAGAGCATTGCGCCTTCCTCTTTAAGTGCTTGCAATGGTTCCCATGTTTCTTTGGGGGAAGTCAAGCACTTTAAATGTGTGCTGAATGAGCTTTAAATGTATGTAAGGTGAAAGGTAAAGGTAAAGCACCCTGGACAGTTAAGACCAGTCAAAGGTGACTGTGGGGTTGTGGTGCTCATCTTGCTTTTCAGGCTGAGGGAACCAGCATTTGTCCACAGACAGCTTTCCAGGTCATGTGGCCAGCAAGACTAAACCGCTATTGGTGTGGATATGACCTTGTGCTCCTCATCAGTGTAAGGTGAAGGGGTACTACTTTGATGGGGCCTCTGGCACAGTTTTCAACCCAGCCTTGGCCATCTCCTATTTTGAGAATTTAAGGACCAAATGCCCATGTGTGCATGTCAGAAGAAGCATGCAAAGCCCAGGGGAGGCGCAGGTATGGTGAACACGGCCAGGTGCAGCTTAGAGGGACCTGGAGCAAAGTAGCCTCTGATGAGCCTCTTACTCAGTCAGGGTTATTTGGTTGTGGGAAGCATTAGCACCAGTTTAGATGCCTGCTTAGTGTCACACAATGCTCACAATATAGCATCACTCTCAGGAACTGTAGGGAATTAATATGGCTCATAGATGCAGACATCTGGTGCTGCTTTAATCACTGAGCTGCAGGTGACTCTGGTAGACCCTGAGGAAGGATCTTAGGCAGTGATTTCTGAGCTCCACAGAGCGCTGTTAGCTAACGGGTCACAGTCTGCACCCCTGTCAGCTTGAGGCAGAGAAGCAGCAGGATAAGATTATAGAGCAAAAGGGGAAAGCCGAGGCGTGGCTACCCCAATGCTCAAGAGCATGGGTAGGCAAACTAAGGCCCGGGGGCCGAATCCGGCCCAATTGCCTTCTAAATCTGACCCGTGGAGCGTCCGGGAATCAGTGTGTTTTTACATGAGTAGAATGTGTGCTTTTATTTAAAATGCATCTCTGGGTTGTTTGTGGGGCATAGAAATTCATTCTTTTTTTCTTTTCTTTTTTCAAAATATAGTCCAGCCCCCCACAAGGTCTGAGGGACAGTGGACAGGCCCCCCTGCTGAAAAAGTTTGCTGACCCCTGCTCAAGATGCACGCCATGCTGACCCCCAGGATGCACGCTATGCTTCCGCGGGTCGCGCTACGTGCCCAGGAAGCATGCCAGCCCTGCCCCCGCCTGCTGTCCACCCCCCGGTGCCAGAGCATGAAGCGCCACCACTGCTGATCAGAAGAGCCTAAGGATGTCTGATTGGTTTAGAATGACAACTGTGGGTTGCAATTGCTATGGGAAGTCTGATATAATTAATTGGTTGGTTATTTGTAATCATGTGTCTAGGTTAGAAGTGTGTAGGAGTAGATGCTTGTGAAGATCATTTCAGCCTCCCTCAGAATTTTTAGGAGGCTGACCCGATGGACTCCTTTATTCAGTAAAGTCCTATCTTTTCACTTGGAGCCTCCAACCCTTTCTTTCGGGTTTCTGCGAGGGACATAGCCAGCCTAGGAAACTTTTAAAAAAAAATCTATAACACCGTCACATTTCACTGGCAATCCACCCCTTTCCCCTGCAGCCTTTATTCCAGCTGAGCAATTGGAATAGGCTTTTATTGTGAACCACTGCTATATTTTTATGACACGGTGGTGTATAAACATTTTCAGAAATGGAAAAATACTGGGGGAAACGACCCTAAGCCGTGTTGGGGAGACACTTGCAAAGAAGCTTTCTGAAAACTCTGACCAAAACACATTGCTTACCATTCAGACTGTTCCCCTTTGGGTAGTAGGTATCAGCAAAATCCCGAACCTTCTGCTGTGCTGCTAACACTTGTGCATGTTTTTTATAATTGAGAGCATCTAAAAAGAAAGGAGGAATGAAAGAGTGGGCATACCAACACACTAGTTTTATGCCAGCTGGAAGTGTGGCTCTACCCTGTGTAAGTATACCTGAAGGGGCTTGCATGTGGGGGGCCACCAGGTGGTGCATTGGAAGATGGCCGACAAAAACATCTCTCTGACCCATACGAGGTAATTAAGGGGCTGCTATGGGAAGTATGCAATCTTCCTACCCCCCCCCAAGGAGGTGGGGGGCTGCCTTGCCAGCGGTGTTCACAATGCACCCCCTGATCCGAGAGATGGGGGTGCCGAACACTTGGCATGAGCCCTCGATGAAGTCAGATCTTCCTGACGCCGATTCCAATCAGCGCACGCTGGTTAGCTTCAGCTCGGAATTATAATTGGAAACATACGATTGGAATGAAGCTGAAGCACATACATCAAGTAACGTTCGAGAGATAAGACTGCTGATTAATGTATCTCTGTGACCGGGAGTGACGGACGGATAAGTAAATCTTCTGATGAAACACCATTAAGAGACTGTATGTTTGGAATGAAGGGGGGGTGGAGGAAAAAACTTCTTTTCTTTGCACGATGTGATATTAATAACCCTTCACTCCAGATAGAAATAAGATCGTTGCGTTTTTACTAATCACAAGCAGGAATTCAAGAACTGTGTGGGATGGATTATAACAGGAGAGAGGATTGGTGAACGGTGAGAAAAGGGAAAAATTTTATGACGCAGTTAAAAAATGGCGTCTCGCCAAGACAGGCTTGTCGGAGAAAGAAGGACAGGGGGAGGAGAATCAGGACCATTGGAAAGAGAAGGAATGTTGGAACGCAATCTTGACCTGACAGAGCCTCCTGATTTATTTGGCAAGCCTGAGAAAAGTAAAGGACAGACCGAAGATTAAGTTTTTTTATGGAAGCGTTGAACAGAGGCTGTCCCTGAGTGATATGATCTTTGGAGAGTACAAAACCCACACAGAGGATGCCTGTTTTCAATCTGCTTGTGAAAATTATCAGAGATCGCAGAGAAAGGAATATACGATAACAACAAGAAGATGAAGAAAGTAATAAAGGACTATCTGGATTGAACTGGATAGAACTGTTTAATTAAAGCAGTAATATAAGTGATGTTTGGACTCGTTCAGAGTTTTGTACCCGTTCGGAGCTTGATGTATGGGTACCCCCAACAAATTTTAAAATTTGGCTGTACAATTTGGAACTAATGTGATTTGGATAATGTGATGTGATTGGCCTGTTAATAAAAATTATTAAAAAAGAAGAAGAAGAAGGGGCTTGCATGTGGAGCAGGTGGAAGGAGGAGGAGAGGTCAGGTCAGGGCAGCAAAGGGGGCCAAGTTGTGGTGGAATTGCACCATGCTAGACCGATGGGCAGTGGCTGAGGAGGTGCACCAGCCAGAGGGAAGGAGGAAGAAGAAGAAGAAGAGTTTGGATTTGATATCCCGCTTTATCACTACCCTAAGGAGTCTCAAAGCGGCTAACATTCTCCTTTCCCTTCCTCCCCCACAACAAACACTCTGTGAGGTGAGTGGGGCTGAGAGACTTCAGAGAAGTGTGACTGGCCCAAGGTGTCATGGTATTGACGGAGAACGCAGGGGAAGAGGAGGAGAGACAAGCAGAGGAAGGGGGGCAGGAAGTGCCAATGGTGGAAAGGAGGGAACATCAGGAGGAGGGAAGGATCTCAGATGTTGGAGCAGAGCCTCAACTCCACACAGGAAGCTCTGGCACGGACAGTGATGCAGTGCCGGTCCCATCTGCTCAGGAAAGGAGAGGGTTAAAGCGGAGGGGGCAGAGACATCAAATGAGAATGCCTCGCCTCTTCTGCTGGAAAAGGGGCGGACGTAAGTCACTCTGAGAATCTGATTCACAGGATTCGGACGGATAATTATGTGTGCTGCTTGTACATATGTAAAATAAAGGATGTATATATGTATCTCTGAGTGAGCAGAGGCATTTCTTGCGGAGAGCACTCACAAGCCATCACACAAGGTCACCCAGCAGCTGCATGTGGAGGAGTAGAGATGCGAACCCGGTTCCCCAGGTTACGAGACTACCGCTCTTAACCACTACACCACAACACTGGAGGGGGTAAGGGAGAGGTTGCTCCTTCTCCCTTCTGCCTGTTGCTGTTCACGCAGGGCCAGGCTCCTTGTCAGTCACACCAACAGCAATGCAACCACCATTTGGGGTTGGCTGAGCTCAAATATGGGGGAAAACATGTCTCGTTTGAAGTCCGAACAGGACAGGGGACTCTTTTGTCTAAAACAGGGGCAATGCCATTTTTCTAGGGACAGGTGGTATCACTGCTGATTGCAACATGAATCTACACCTGCCTAGTTCTGGGGCAATGCCCAAAATCATGTCTGCACAGACGCCCAAAATCGTGGGCCCACAGAGAGATCTCCAGTGGAGTAAACCGGCCAAGGCAAGGTAAACCTTGCCTACCCCTGGCCTAGTTAGTCACTAAAAGTCTCTGAGCTGTTCAAAGGCAACACTGCAATGCCATTGAAATCTCTCTCTCTCTCAAAACTTCCGGGTTAGCGCCTCCGGCAATGGCGGAATTCCTCTGATCGGGAGGAATCCGCTCCATGGAAATCAGGGTCTGGCCGCCACGGCGAAGGCGGAGACCCACTAAAAACCACAGGTGGGAGAAGCTTGTGGACGTGGGATTCGGCTGGCACCTCTTGCGCCTCCCCTACTCGCGGGGAAACCCGGTTTCGGGGATCCGGAGCGACGTGGGGTGAGTGGCGCGGTGCTTCGAATCGACTGCTTCTTTCACGGAGTGAAGCCGCATTGCTGTTGCCGGAGAGCGCTGACTTTTTCCTGTGGACAATTTGATCTTAAAACAACTACCCGTGAGTAGAACGGAAAATTGGATTTTTAAACGTCTTAATTTGGCACCGAAACGGGGAGGTTTCAAACAGGAAGTCTGCCTTCCCCTTTTGTAAATAGATTGAATCAAAGAGGCTGCAAGATAAAGCCTTGGAAAGCCTTTCATAAAGGATTAAACTTCCATCGGTTAAAGCATCAAAACCCTCTTGGAAGCAGGAGAAGAGGGGGGAAATTTAAGATCGCGTAAGCCTGCAGGAGAGAGTGAAGAAAGTCAAATTACCACCGCTCT